AGGAGAAGGAGGAGGACGAGGAGGAGGAGGAGGAGGAGGCTTGGATGTTGAGTTCTACAGCCAATTTAAGTAGAACCCCACATATTGGGCCGAAGCAGTCCACGACCCTAATCATCTGGACTGTGTTGAAAAGGGCGTAAAAGTAGTATGGTTACGTTTGATGACATGAACGGGTCATCAATTCTGTCTTTGTCTGATGTCGCTGTGGTGGTTGGCTTGCGCCCTGGTGTATTTTGCACCTTATTTCCTACGAGACATATATCGCCCTCACCTCTCCTTTTCCTTTTTTGTATGTAACTCTTGAGTAATGCCTCTAAACATAGGCACTTAAATGGCCTAATTGTGTTGTAAGTGCCATTTACCGATGTCTTTATTGCGTTGTGCTCCTTTCTTTCATCATCCTCAAATGTCAGACCTGCGAAAGACATCGGTGACCATGGGTCTCCATTCATTTCATTGCTCGGATGCTCTAAGGAAAAAAGCTACGATTTTATTTTCATTTACCCGGTCTTCCCCATCCCCAATCTTCAGACTTAGTTGCTTTGGACCTACAAATGCCTCGTTTACCTTTAATTTTACCACTAAGAGTAAGTTAAAGACTCTAGTCTAATGTCGATTCAAGTATCCCAGAAACTGTATAATTTAGTCTCTTCCTAAATGTTTTATTAGTATGCGGCCCGCGGGGCTTCTTTTAAGCTTTCTTGCTTTCTTCTAGGTCTATGCAGCGGAGGGGAAGAACATCACGGAGAGGGACCTGAGAGCTTCCAACGGCTATGTCCAGGGTCTCGATGACCTCATGATCCCGCCCACAGGAGACGTGGTGGACATTTTGTCCGGCATGGACAAGACCAAGACGCTTTCCTCCCTCATCGTTGCCACGGGGCTGGACGCTGTCATCAGGAGTTAGTGGGATATTATCTGTTGTCTGTTGTCTGTTGTTGTTGTTGTCGTTGTTGTTGTTGTTGTCGTTCTTGTTGTTGCTGCTGCTTTTGTTGTTGTTTGTGATGATAATAATTGTCTATATTTTCTCTTCGTTGTTGCTGTTGTTGTTGTTGTTGTTGTTGATGTTGTTGTTGTTATTGTTGTTGTTGTTGTTATTATTACTGTTGCAGTTGTTGTTTATGATGATAGCGATTTTTCTAAATTTTTTCTTCGTTGTAGTTATTGTTGTTGCTGCTTTTGCTGTTCATATTGTTGTTTTTGCTGTTGTTGTTATTGTTGTTGTACTTATTGTTGAAAGGGGGGGGGGGATTTGATAGTGTATATTCGTCTGTTCACTGGTTGCAAGCATCCTCAACAGCATACAAGTTGAAACAATCTCCCATAGCTGCTGGACACGTTGCTATAGCGACAGTTTGTTGAATCATTTTAATATTTTTATTACTATGTTTAATCTTGTAAATCACTGGAAATGCTACTCTCCTTTTCAAGCAACACACATGTACTTAGTTCAGCTTCTTAGTTTATACCATACATGATCAATAAATGTACAGATGAAAGCACACAACACTGTATTCTTAACAAGATACGTATTCTAAAAGGCATTAAGAAACAGAGCAAAAAAATTATGTTCTGGAAACAAAGGTGGAAAAAAACCTTGATATTTCAGATTTTAGTCAAAATGGTAACAAAGTTTCCCCAAAACCTTTGACTGTCACATAAAATTACGATAATAAATAGATCTATGTTGTTCTTTCCCATAGGTGACCAAAACATCACCGTATTCGCACCTACCAATGACGCCTTCAGCAAAATCAGCCCAGACGCTCTCACATACTTGAACAACAACCCAGACTTGTTGGAACGTGAGCTTTATTTTCTTTAGTTTTAAAAAGAGTATTTCGGCACCTACAACACAAACAGGTCATAACTATAAGTGTCGAAAATTAAAAATGTTACCAGTGAATAATGTACGAAGAAAATAAAAGGAAGAGGAGAGAAAAGGACGACAGATGTTTGATTGGAAAGAACTGCACCAGAGCACAAACCACTCAACAAAGGAATATGTTGAAGGCAGATTTTTTATTAAAAGTAATATCCAAGACTGCGCATTCAGACCTAGGTCTAATTGTGTTGCAAGTGCCGCAAAACTCTTACAAAAATAAAAACAAACGAGATACCTGCTCAATACGTACTTTGAGTATCTAACTAGCTTGTTGGTGTCAAGCCAGTCTTACGTAGAGATCACAATGCTGTTACATTATCATGCCGGTTTGTTTCCATATTCAATGGGTTATAATAGGCTGGTCTCACAGTTTTATTCCCCCCCCCCCTCTCTCTCTCTCTCTCTCTCTCTCTCTCTCTCTCTCTCTCTCTCTCTCTCTCTCTCTCTCTCTCGGATCTCATGGTATGACTATCTGAACTTCAGTTGTGCATAGCCATGACTAAGCATATTATTGTGTTGCTTGCTATAACTTACTATAAGTTAATTTTAACAATAAATTGTATAAACTGATGTTTCGTATTTCAATCGAAAGAGAATTAATCCCTTCTATAATGCCCACGACTGCATTGAGATCTGAGATGATTTGTTGTTTGTTGTTTGTTCTGTTTTTTTGTTTTTGTTTGTTTTGTTTTGTTTGCTTTTTCTCCAAATTTCCTTGTGGCCTTTGCAGAGGTCCTGCTGTACCACATCGTCAAACAGACAACACTGTACAGTATCGGAATGAGACACGCCATGATCTTCCAGACCGCTGACCAGCACCGGGACAGCATCATGCTTATTGAGGACGGCAGTGAGTTGGCTAGATTGCTATGTTAAGGCTTCGAATCCCTGAAAAAATGTACAAGATTGTACTTTCATATTAGATCTATGCCTTCAAATTGCTCCCATAACGGCTATTACCAAAAAATTAAATTATGTAAACCTAATAAACATCACAAGTTGTATAACTGTTGCTAGTAAAAACAAAAGACTTATTAACACATATACATTAAATAAGTACGTGTACAGGTTTAACGCCCTATGAACAAAACATAGGTTTGAAGCCGTTTTCAATATTGAGTTTCAAAAATGGGTACACTTTCAGGACAATCGAAGGGGTACTTATAGTAGAAATCGTGTCACTGTCCATTCTTGAAGAGCAGTTAGGATCATTCTACCATTTGGGTCACGACGCGGTAGAATCAGGCGCTCGTCAAGCTTTGGACACATGCAGATATTTATATCATCTGACAACCTGCTCATTTGGGTTGCTCTCGACATCTGTCTTAAATAAAAGTCGAAACAATTGTGACTGAAGGGGGTGGGGGTTGCCTGGTTTCAGGGGTAGGCTACTAAAAGGGAGAAAATGACCGTCAAAGTTTGGTGACTTCCTAAGCTTGAAAGTTTATATTTTTGGAGCCCTTAAAAAACGTTTTTCAGTGAAATCCACACCGAAATGTGTTTTTAAATAGACATTATAGGTGTTGAGCCTTAAAAAGAAAATGTCTATAAAATTGTTCAAACCGGCGGGAAAAAGCCAGTTTCTTTAATTTTATTATTATGATGAGCGCCCAGTTTCATTACGATGTCTCACATTTTGCATTTTGTTTGTCCGTTCCAGACGACAACATCTACATGAACCACGCCAGAGTGGATGACCGAGACCTCAGTGCCACCAACGGAGTTATCCACACAATCGAGGAGGTGTTGATTCCTACCAACATTCTGATTGCCATCGAAGACCAAGGTCTGATGGTCGGGTAGATCTGCCCTGTGACGTCAAGTAGATCCATGTTGTGACGTCATCTAGATCTGTGCTGTGACGTCATGTAGATCCGTGATGTGACGTCAGGCAGGCATATGGATCTGTGCTGTGACGTCGGGTGGATCTATCAAGCTACGAGAGAAATGAAAAAGAGAAGGAAAGAACTTTGAAAATCTGAACTCGATAGCTAAACTTTCGAAATCCCGTTTTAATAAAAATCGTATTTTCATAAAGTGGTTTATAATACCGGAATCGCAATGTTTTGTGGTGGGTGCGGGGTTGTTATTTTTTGTTTGTTTGGGGTTTTTTTGTGTTTTACTTTCTTTTTATGTTAAATTTATTATTAATTTTTTAAAAATGTTTTTTTGTGTTGTGGGTTGCATGTCTAATCGGGGCTTTTTTCTGGAGGTGAGGGGAAGGATAAGTAACCTGATCTTCTTCTTCTTCTTCTTCTCTTTCGTGCTATTTTCAGTTAGTTTTAGTAGTGGTTTTACGGCGCTCACAAATGCATAAGGTTATATGAGCGCCAGAAGATTGGGGGTATTACAAGAGAGTAACAAACATAAAAAAGAAGAAGGGGAGATAAGGACGATA